TGGGAATCATGAATCCAGCTAGCAAACCTATACAATATCCCCCAAGAAGCACCCAATATCAGAGCTTTCTGTCAACTGCCTTTCTTCCTGTTAGCAACGGAGCCTCCCGCAGCCCCAATGGGGCGGGGGGATGGGGGGAGTCCCTACTCACAGAAAATCTGGACCCACAGAAGCCCCAGTAGAGCCCCTAGCTGGCTCTTCATGGCTCTTCTGTTGCACCTGCACTGTCGGGTGTTAACTCCTGGGGTTCAGACAGACTTTGCTCTTACAGTTAAGGGACACATGAGACTCAAGAGAACATCAGTCACCTTTGAGTTTCGTCACTCAACAGGAAACTCCACCCACTATGGCACGGTGAAACTGCACAGCAACAGCTCCAACGTGGTGGGCTGGAACAGTGGGCAGTAAGAGAGAGGGCAACCTTTCCAAGCCGCGAAGCAGCTTTTTTTCCCCTTTAAAGCCATTAATAAAGAAGAGTTTGTGCAAAAGCGTGTGAAGAATGTGGATGACACTTTAGGGAAGAAACAATGTCTCCTGCGAATCAAGCAGAGTTTCAAACGATAATGGAAAGAGAAACAGCATGTAATGAATTACATAATTTGATTGATGAGACAATTCAATAATTTAAAAATATCAAGGACCGGCTTGCCTTCTATGCAGAAGAACTAAATGTGATTTCTCTGTTTAAATGTTTATCTGTTCCAGTGGCAGAGAGAGAGAGACACAAAGAGACAAGAGAAAACAACCCGTCTCATGGTTCACTCCCTGGTTGCCTGCAAGGGCCGCCCATGGGCCAGGCCAGGCCAAAGCTCGGAGCCATGAAGGAAAGCACCCAGTATTGGCTTTCTTTTTCTGGCTTATTTTAATTGGCACAACGCTCTCCAATTCCATGTAGTTTGCAGTAAATGACAGTATTTCATTCCTTCTTAAAGACTGAGTAATTGTCTATTATGCACATATACTACATTTCTTAGTGTGTTTCTAAAAACTGATGGAGTTTTCTATTTCTCTCTTTTGTCTTAGAAAATGGAAAGTGCATTTCTATTCTTTTAACAAGCTCACTTACTTACATTACACACACATTCACACACACGATTTTTTCCGATGACTAAAGTTATTATCTAACATCTTCCTTATGTATTCTCCTGTTTTACTGTACTTTTCCTCTGATTGATTTCCTGTGTTTAGAATCCTCTCAGTGATTCATCAGAGGAAGCCACACACCAGTCATATACCAGGACAATAATTTCAGAGAATTTATCAAATGAGCTGCCATATGACAGCTTCTTCCAATGCCCGCTAAGAAAAACAATCAAAGAGAAAGCCATCCAGCATGCTAAGCAGAATGTATACACATCCTTCTGCCTCAGAGCTTCTGTCCCTGCTCTTCCTTCTGTCCTTGGTGCTTTGCATCTGATGGCCACGTGGATCTTCCCCTCTCTTCCTCCTGGTCTCTGCTCCTAGACTATCTTGGGCCTGTGTGGATGAAGAGGAATGCTCTGGAAGGCTTCCTGCAGAGTTCTAGTTCATATTGAAAGAAACAATACTGGGACTGCTAATCAATAAAGCCAGGGTTGTATAAATTGAAACCTATTCAAGGTGACATAATGATGTAGAATGACTTACATGTGTTAAGAAAATGAAGCCTGTAAGATCTATGATTAAAGCTCTAAGGCAAAATACAGAGTGATTAGCATTATATTATGTGTGTTATTTTGTATTAATTATACAAAAAAGACACTATATACTTACATATATTCTGTTGTTTCATCCTTGCTGTATGTGTAAAAACCTATAGTGAAGAATTGAGAAATGCATTCTCCATACTGATTAAGATGAAAAAAGAATAGGATAATGAAAGATGAAGGGATCAGAATTAGGAGTTGTTACATCAAAATTATGCATGCTCATCCTGACTACCACAAATTATGTTGGGTCAAAGTAAGTTTCAATTGCCTTGTCTATGAACATGATGCTTACTTTTGAAATTTTGAATAAATTTCTTCAAGCTCCTATAAAAGTCCATCTGTTGAAGCCCTAACACCTGGTATTCGGAATGTTAGTATATCTAAGATAGAGTAGGGCCCCTTGAATCTTTATGATTTAATTAATGTAAAGTGAGGTAGTTAGGGTGAGTCTGAATCTGGTATTGTGAAGTTAGTAGGATAAATGGGAAGTGGAGAGACAGGGAGCATAGCAGTTTCCATGTGAGAAATTAGGCTCTGATGCTAAACCAAGCTACACCACAAAGCAGCATGTCTCAAGTGCATAGTAACTGATACGGATAGCATAACCTTCCTTAGCTAAGCAGGTCAGCAACATCTCAAGTGGTCAACAAGGTGACATTTCCTCTTGATTAACAGCCATGACTGCTTGCAGAAAGACACAGAGAAAAGCAAAACAGACCCTGATGTACTGAAACGGTGTAGATAGAATAGTTGATCAATCAATAATGTACCCCTAGCCTGGTCAGAGCACTCCGTTGTGTTCTTTCTCTCTCTCTCTCTCTCTCTCTCTCTCTTCTCTCTCTCTCTCTCTCTCTCTCTCTCAAATAATACCTATCTTTGCTTTTGCTTTCCCATCCCTCATTGTCCACATCACTATTCTTAGTTGCTGTGAGTCAAGGATCAATTCTGAATCCCACGATAGGACTAATGTTCTTTCAAATAGAGAAAACAGGACACAACGGTGAGTGCACATGGGGCAGAGACCATATGAGGACAAGGTAAGAAGGTGGCTGTTGAAAGTTAAGGAAAGATGCTCAGAAGACATCAACGCTTCTGAAATCTTCATTTTAGATTTCTAACCAGAATTGTGGGGGAAATAAAGATCTGTTGTCTTAGTGACCCAGTCTATGATACTTTACTGATACTCTCAGAGTACAAATATAAGAGTTATTTTTACTTTCCTATGATATGAAACATTACGAAGAACAATCTGAAGACACATGATATTTTTCATTGTTAGGGTGTGATTTCCATTAAACACTTTCAATGCAGACATTAGGGCATCAACTATGATCTAGCTTTACTCTAATGGAAGTTAACTGATCCTATCAGAAACCTAAGTTTAGGGATGATCAGCTACCATTGTAACCAGAGAAAATCTTAAATCATTTCTCTACATCCTTACTCAATACCTCTAACTTTTCTAAATATCCTGGGGAAGATGAAATGTTGTATTTTTATTTTTTTAAAAAATGATGGTATTTGAAAGTACCACAATAAACGTTAGAAGAGAATTCTCCTTTGGAAAAATCCTGTGTCACTGTTGAAAATGGAAAGTAGACATTAGGGCATAACACACATGAAAAACTTTAATTTTCCTTATTACAGCAAAATACACTGCTAGATTAATATCCTACATGTAACTCAACTGCTTCCCAATCTCAATATAATAATTACCAACAACACTATAAATCAAGAATAATGTACATTTATTAGCTAATTTAAAGTTATATTTAAAGTATTTAGGTAGTAGATGCAATATTATTTTCTAACTCTGCTTCAAAGTTTGTATTCCTAGAGAGAACACTGCCTTCTGCATTTAAACTTGTCATTTTATTTCTTTAAAATCTCTCTATTACAGAACAATTCAATTTTTTCTAAGAACATATCCTTCTCCGTCTACAAGCCATTACTCTTTAGTCCAATATCCATGTAGCTGCAGTAGTCCAAAGCTATTCGCACCCATGTGTTATACAGATGCTCTGTTGTGATTTGTAAATGTAATCCTATCAAAATTCTACTAGGAGTAACATCTACAGTTACAGATTTTGAGATAAATCTAGTAAACCTACATTTTTAGGCTTAAAGTTTAAGTCATTTCATGAGTCCTCTTCATTGCAGGTAGTACTATCTGAGAGTGAAGGCACAAGTACTGCTTATTTGCTTTTTCTTCAGAGATCAACTTTAGAAAAGGGGACAGCTTTGAAGTATCAGGTAAAGCTATAAAACAGTGACAATGTGGGGAAGAAACAGACAAATTCAGCTTTCACAAACACAAAAATTTATTTTAAAATTCATCAATATGTAAACTATTTTTCCTTTCAGTTTAAATTGAAATTGATGAATGACTGATACACTGATATTAATGAACAAATACTTACTTGTATTTAAGTTGAACTATTTGTTGAAGTGGATTGCAGTTTGCCTTGATGATATAATAAAAGTATGTGTTCCCTACAAACAATAGGCAACAAATAAAAATTACTACTTCACAGAACAGTACAGGCATGGACACACTAAAAGTCTTCAAACGTATTCCATGCTTCCATAGTGACAAAGCAATTCAACTTCCTCTTCGTGATAAAATCAATTGCTACGGCTAATTGACTTTTTCCTTCCCTGTCGACTCTTTGCAGAAGGAATCTGTAGAGTCCATGAGGAGGTCTCTTATGCATTAGTTGAAACCATGTCTGTTTCCCTTCCTGGAAGAATGTTTCCATTATAGACTAATATTTTCAATTAATACAGTGTGAAGGTGATTGGACAAGATGACCTAGGCTTATCTGTGGGTTATTAAGAGTTTTAAAAAGTGAGAAAACACTTTCTGATTCCTAGACCCACATATTCAGCTACATTGGATATGTCACATCCAACAGCCTCTGACGCCTAAAAACCTGCTGAATTTTGGCAAACAAAACTCCACCCTTTCAGGATGTTGCCTCCAGATGGCGCTGTAACTCAGTCTTCACTAAATCACTCCAATTGTCAATAACCTGGATATTTCTAGATAATGGGGCATAAGAGGAGGACACCCGAGGACATTAAAGCTAAGGCTTCTATGGGAAAGTCAAAACTATTTATTTCAGTGATAAAAACAACTGAATTTCCTCTTTTGTAGCACTATTTATTGTAGACATTTCTCATGAAAATCATGACAAGATCATGAAAGGAAGGAAGGCTAGAAGTAACGAAAGCGACTTTTATTTCTTAACATTGGGACCGTGAAGAAAGAAGCAGTTCTATTCTTTCAACAGCCCTTAGTATAAAAATTACTTACTTCTTTAATACTAAGTTTGAGTTCAGGATCAAAAGAATTTCATATTCTTTGCAAATCTGCATAAAATGCCTGCCAGAATCCTTCGGAGCAGTGTAGCTGAGCTGGTAATAATGACATACCTGAAATTAACCACATCACTGGAAGCACACAAAAGTGAAACTCAGAAAGTTAAAGAGACCTCCAAGGAACATATATCTCTTTAAACACAGTCTTTTTTGTCTTTACCTGGGTGAAGCTGCCACCTGCAACACTGGCATGTCATATGAGTACCAGTTTCAGTCCCGGCTGCTTCACTTTCTCTCTCTCTCTCTCTCTCTCTCTTTCTCTCCTTAAACATTGTTTACATAGTTGAGACGGATGCATACTCATGTGGGTTTTCGAATTAGGGTGGAAAGGGTCGAGGTACGGGGGAAGGTGGGTGAGATCAATGTTTCAACTTTTTTTTTCCTGTGTTTGCAGGGAGGGAAGGGGAAAGGGCCACTTCTTGGTGTAAAACTACATCAGCACCCCGGAATGGGGTTGGTGCAGGGGTGACGGTCGCTCGATGATGACTTAGAGATTCGATGTGTAAGAGTGTTCCGAGGGTGTTATTTGAGCAGTTTTGTTGCTCCTGAAGATGCCGCTGACTTCGCAGCCCAGGAAGAGCTGCTGAGTTTCTGAGCTCTGCACTCAGGGGTGGTTTGTGCACTGCTCCCCCTGCAGCCCCAGGCGCTGTGGCACTCAGAGCACACCAGTACCGGGCTGCGTCACTCAGGTGCACAGAGGGCTTCCTCAGGTGGAAGGAAGATTCGCTCTTCTTAAATTCAGCCTCAAAACCGTGGAGGCCCTGAACCAGGGTGTTCCCTGAAAAGTACCTCAGGAGAGGCTGAGGACCTTGGCCGCGGTGCTGGACATACCAGAAGAGGTAGGGGGTTGCCCCATAGGAGTAGTTGCACCTCAGCTCCACAGAGTCTCCTTCAGACACAGAGACGTAGGCGTCGGGCTGGGTCACCGTCTGGGCTCCAGCGTCTCCTGGAAAAGCAAGGCGTCCGTGAGCGCGGGAAGCATTTCTGACCAGAGGCTGCAGCAACAGCAGAGACCAGAGGAATTTACTCACTCAGGGCCAAGTGAAGCCCCAGCACTGAGGCGAGCAGCAGGAGCATGGCTGGGCTGGAAACGCGGCAGGCTCTTCTCTGGAAGTTCTCCTGAGTACGAAAGCGAGGCTAGATACTCTCTGACCTCTGGTTCTTGCTTCTGCTCTCTGCAAAGATCTCAGCGAGCTAAGGGAGGAGAAGCGAGCTAAGGGAGGAGCTGAGCGGTGGAGGAGCGTGCGGATTTCTTCTGTATGTGCAACATCGCCCCCTGGAGGTCATCGCCGCAGGTCCTGCTGCACTAGAGCTATTTAACATGTTCCTTTATTCATACGGGATGCATAAAAAGCTCCGCCAACAGGTTTTTTTCCATCCTAAATATGTTTTCAGAAAACTGAAGCATATGAGATCATATTGAAGATTCCAGCCCAGCATGTACAAGATCAGAGGCCACAGGACCGATTCGTCCTTGGACAGTGTAGCTTCCTCGGCTGTGTAAGAGCTCCAAGGCTTCTGTGATTCCACCGTGAGGGTAGAAGAAGCATCTCCTCACTGAAGTAGAACATCAGAAGTACCGCCAGCGGGGAGGGAGCTGTACAAGGGAAGACGTGACAGGCCAGCCTCTTACATGCTCCTAAGCGCTCTTACATGTTCTAAAGATCTTGGGGGTCTCAACTGAGACTACCCCGTCAAAGGCGATGAGACATGAGCAGAAAACAGAGCTACTGAATTTTTTTCTTTACTATTTTTTACTTTAAAATGCATGAAGACATAGTACCTTTTCATTTTAAAATCCTCCCCTTTAAGCAGATGTGTTGACATAGGACTGGACCCTGTGTGGTGGCATAGTAAGCTCGTCTTCTGCCCTGTGGCACAAACATCCTACATGAATGCCAGTTCATGACCCGACTGTTCTGTGTTTATGGCCTGGGAAAGCGGGGGAGGATGGCTCAAAGCCTTAGGACTCTGCAACCTTGTGGGAGACCGGGAAGAACTCTTGGTTCCCAATTTTAGATCATCTCAGCTCTGGCTTCTTAAGACATTTGGGGAGTGAATTAGCAGATGGAAGACCTTCTCTCTTTATTTCTCCTTCTCTCACTGTAAAATCTGACTTTCAAATAAAAATAAATAAGTCTTTTAGAAAAAGAAAAAACAACTGATTTAGGCAATTCACTCAAAATACACAGTACAAACCTTGTTGGTTTGGTCACACTAAGAGGCAAACACTGCCCTAATCAGAAAACATTCTCAGCACCACTAGAGGAAACCCACTACTTGTTAACAATCACCCTTCACTTCCTCTCACCCATCACCTGTCACCAAGGCAACTGGAAGTTTACAGAGATTGAAAATTGTGTATTCGTAGTACCTTCTATTCTGAACATTGTACATAAAGAGAATTATACAATATATGGTGTTTTGCAGCTGCTACTATTTTTTTATGTTTTCAGATCCATATTGTGGTATATATTAGTTCATCATTCCTTTTACTGCTTAATAACATTCTGTTGTATGGATATAATGTATTTTATTGCTCCATTCACCAATTCAAAACCTTCGAGTTGTTGCTATTTTGAGTAGCTATAAACACTGTAGACATAAACATTTATGTGCACTATTTTATAAAGACTTGCATTTTCATTTCTCTATGATACATAACTCAGATAGATTCACTGTTTCCCAAAGCAGATGTGCCATTTTTGCATTGACACCAGCAGTGCATGAGGATTCAAATTTCTCCATGTCTTTGCCAATACTTCATATAGTCACCCTTTCTATAATATACTCTCATCATATTGGTCTGCATTCCCTTGAAAAGTAATGATGTTGAGCATATTTTCATGTGCTAATTGTGCCCAATGTGGCTCTTGTGGGGGTGTGTAGTGTGAAATCCACCTTGTTCATGCTCTTCCTGTTTGGGATATGCTGCTGTCTCTATGTTCCTGTTCAAATCAAACAACGCTGCAGGATGGGCAGTTCTTTGCCTGGGTTCACCTGCTGAGCTCCCGGTAAACTCCTCTTCCCACCTGGGTGCTGGTGGAACTCAGATTATCAGTGGAGTTCAATTCACCACTCATTGACTGCCTTCGAGGTGTCTGATCACTGCCACACCACACCATTGTCTCTGCTGCTTTCCCGTGTCTGTCAGTCTCCAGGTGCCACTCTGCTGCTGTTGGCCTGTCCTCTGATTGCTGGAATGTGTCCTCTCTGTTTCACCCTGGCTAATGAGTTTCCATCTGTTTATTAAATGTGTCCTTGCCCTATTCCACCATCCTGATTCTCTGAATCTTCTATCATTACATCTTGCATTCCCTGAATTTCTTTTCCATCTTCCATTATTTTTTATTTTAGCTTCTGTTTGGCTTTCCTGTGGATTTACACTCACCCTTTTCTTCATTTTCTTTTCTATTACCACAATTTTAACACTTTTTCTCCCCAAAAGTTGCTTTCTACAACTTCTTGCTTTCTACTCTCTTCATCTACATGATTTCCTTTAATTTGTTTACTTTTTTTTAAAAAAAATTACTTATTTGAAAGTTAAAGTTACAAATAGAGAAGAGAAGGAGGAGGGAAAGGAGAGGAAAGGAGAGGGGAAAAGGGGACTGTTGCAAAGTCAGATGTTGATTTGTGAACTTCTGTAACAAGACAGAAGATACGTTCTTTCTTGCCTGCATCCATAAATCTCAAGAGCTTTTGTTATCTCTCTTCATTACCCAAATCTGTTGCCTCCCAGTTGCTAGATATAAGATCGTTGTCTGCAGAAGTTGAATGTTTCACATTGTGGAGTGAGCCCTCCCCCAGCAGCCCTCATCCTTGCTGTGTTCCCAACTGGAAACACCAAATCCCACTGCTCCCTTCAGTTGCCATGCCAGCAACCTGTAACACATCACTAATCCGAGCAGCAGCACCACAGAACACAAAGCCCCTCCACCCATGAGCAGTTTTTATGAAAGATATATTTCTTAATTTGAAAGACAAAGTTCTAGAAAGAGAGAGTTCTAGAGAAAGAGAGAGATCTTCCACTTACTGATTCTCTACTCAAATGGTTGCAACAGCTGGAGCTGGGCCATTTGAAAGCCAGGAGCCATTTAGGATGCTGACATTACAGGCAACAGCTTTACTCTCTACACCACAATGTTAGTTCCAAATAGTAGTTTTAAAATCAACTATGATCAGATACAGTGGGAGACCTAGAAATGGGTCCTCTAAAAAGAAATGGAAAGGTGAGAGAAGAAAGTACAAATAATTATTATGAAAAGTGGAAATTCAACAGATAAGTTTCTTCCAATGATATTGACAGCTTGGTCAGTTCTGCCTCTCAGCACAGTATCTCCCTGGATGACTTGGGACAAGGTTGTGGTCTGAAATTTTACGCAAGGACGAACACACATATTTTATTCATCATATGCTTTTAAAGCCACAAATATCAAGGTTGGCTCCCTCTGAGCCTCTGTGACAACAGATCATGCACACTGTCCTCTCACTATTTTTTTGTGCTCAAGGACCCTTCTCCAAGCCAGTATGTTTACTTCCTGTGTCAACAAATTGATGAATATTAGACTTACAATAGGAGACACAAAAGAAGATCTCATATTTTCAAACATACCAAGATGTGTGCAGTTAAATCCAAAGATTTTTCTTCTTCTTTGCCATCTTTCCTCTTGCAGTCATAGCCACCAACTCCTACCCCACCAATAACTCATGTTCTGTGGAGCAAACTAGGAGGCCCCACCCACTTCAACCAACAGATTAAAAAAAAAATGTCACTTCAGTATGACTTTCTTCTTCAGATTCTGGACAGTACCTGTCTAAGTAATGGCTTACTAACAGTAAGCTGGTTCACTACAATACTATGAGGGGTAGAAAGTTTACAATTTCTGGTGATAGTCATCTGTTTTGGAAAACATTAAAATACTCTGCCATATAATTTTGCCAAGAGAAACTAGAAGTACCCATCTTGTTCCTATATATCTATGTCTACATATAGGACTTCCCGTATATTTATTTCTTCCATTAAAAATGTGCTAGTGATTGACCTGAGCTTGCTTAGGAAAAAAATCTTCTTTTTCTAGTTTGACAGGGAAATTTTCAGCATTTGCAGGCTCAAGTCTTACAGTTCTGCCTCTCAGCACAGTATCTCCCTGGATGACTTGGGACAAGGTTGTGGTCTGAAATTTTATGCAAGGACGAACACACATATTTTATTCATCATATGCTTTTAAAGCCACAAATATCAAGGGAACTTGATTTGAGGAACTATAGCAGCAGTATGTGCATGCACTCCACTGTTTTATCACCTTGTATAACTATTCTGCCACTTGTTCGCCTGTGCTGTCAGTGTTGATCTAAATGACTTTCACTCTGGAGTCCTAGAGCTGGTGGGAAACAACAATGTCCCCAAGCCAGAGTCAGTCACAGAGGTAGGCGCTGAGCATCAGGCACCTTGCTGAGCCTCACAGTTTGTGCTCAGCTCCCCCTGCAGTTCTGTCACTGTGTCACGCAGAGCACAGTAGTACACAGCCGAGTCTGACTCTTGCACTGCGACTTTCTTCAAGTGGAAGGAGGTGGCTTCTTTGTTGTACAAGGCTTCAAACCCTTTGTTGCTTCCCTTATCATTGGCCTTCATGGCCTTCAGGAGGATTTGTAGCCCTTCACCTGGGTATTGGACATACCAGAAAAGGACAGGGACCCGTGTGGTTTCATAAGAGCAGTTCACAGTCAAGGGATCGCCCTCTGACAGTGTCATTTGGCCTTCAGTCTGAATCACCGACTCTCCATAGCTTCCTCCTGGAAGAAAAAATATATTGTTTACAGTGTATTTTATTCTAAGCAGCATCTAGGCTCTCCAACATTACAAAATTTTTAGAAAATTAGGATGAAGGTATGTACCAACAGAATATAAAAAAATGACGCTGAATGCTAAGTATCATCTTACCAAACATAAAGAACAGCACAACCGCCAGAGCTAGAGAAGAGTCCATTTTTAGATGCATTAATGTCCTTGGGTCTTGACTTGTTACTGTGAAGAAAGGCTAAAGTCACAGTGAGAAGATGAAGGTGAGCTCAGAAGTACGGCAGGAAGCATATATGTGGGGCCAAGATGCACCCTCTTGTGGGCAAAATACTAAATTCAAGATTGTTGACTTGTTCACTTCCCAAGTTTGTCTTACTCCTCTGTCTTCATCTCTGGATTTTTTTTTTTCCCTAAGAAACCCGCTGGCTGCCAGGTAGTTTTTTCCATTTCCCTGTTTTCTTCCCAGAACATGGACTGACACAGAAGCTCCTTATCATCACATTTCTGAGAGAGTTCAGTGCAATTTTTCTTCCAAATACAGATATTTTGTGGCCACCCTGTTATTCAGTAAAAATGCCATATAAATAACATGTAGGGTAAAATCAAATGAATATCAGTAATAATTTTAGTCATTAGTAAATAATGAATGACAGAAACATTAATCTTTTTCCTCTATTCTCAAACTGAAGACAATGACAATGTCAGACACCTAGTGAGCCATTACACTTACTTCTTTTTTTTTTTAATATGTAACATATTTATTTGAAGGCCAAAGTTACAAAGAGAGAGGGGTAGGTGTTACATCCACTAGTTCACTCCCCAAATGGTCGTAATGACCAGGGCTGCACCAAGCAAACACAAGAGACAAAAGCCTCTCCCAGGTCTCTCACATGCGTACAGGAGCTCAGGCAGTTGGTCATCTTCCACTGCTTTCTCAGACACATTAGCAGGGAGCAAGGTTGGAAGTGGAGTCGCCAGGACTCAAACCAGCACCAATATGAAAGGCTGACATCAATGGCTGTTAGCTCTCTACACCACAGCACCTGTCCCTATCACTTCAATACATGAAGCACCACCTATTGTTGGAAGAATTGCTACTACTTGAAATACAGATTGCATCTAAATGTAGGAAATACAATTTCATGAATGCTTTTCAGCAAGAAAATGTTCCATATTGTTTATATTCAAATACTGACTCAAAAAAGAAAATAGCAACTATTTGTGTTGAAGCTGAAGTTTTTGATCCTATATGAAATGATTTGCCATGGGTTTCTTCTCCCCTAAAATTTCAATGACTGTTTAATAATGTTATTGCCCTACCTGCATCAGGGTGTAAGCCAATAAGAATTGGTATAGGCGTTAGAACACTAAACCTGTAATCAAAAGCTTACTTTGAGTGTGTGCATATATAGGTGTGTCTGCCAATATTGTTGACCAAAAAGTGTACCACAGCGAGAATATTCAGATATTTATTTCCTTCAAAAGGCCAAAGAATGAGCTTAATACAGTGTCTAGGATTAGTACAGACTTGACTGTTGATAATAATCTTCAGCAACAGTTAAGTTACTGTTACATAGGTGAGTGACTTAAGGGGGAAGAAAACCATTTTGAACATTGCCCCCCTACTTCCTCACAGGAGCAGGGCTTCAGATTAAGATATGGTTGTTAAAATATCCTCAAGTGTCTCTGACTCTACCAGTGCTATAAAAATCTACAAAACAATCTTTAGAGACAATGACTTAAGGACAGTCAGCGTCTTAGTGACAGTCTTGTGGGGTCAGCATGGAAAAACCTCCAGTCTTCACAGATTTTTAAAACCATCTTCTTTTCATTTTAGTCCTGAAAACCACAATAGTGTGGTTGGGGGAAAAAATAAGCAACATTGTTTTCTGTGAAGATTGACATCTTTTCATATGGTGGTTCTTTTTCATGGTGGTTCTGGGAAAGCCTGCTTTCCACATGTCAGAGAAAGCAGCCTATTGGCTCCACATCAAGGTGTAAACACTAACAGGCTGGAGTCTTGGATAGCAAATTTAAGTCTGGATATTATCTAAGTTCATGATTATTTCTCTTTTCCTCTTCCCTAATATCTTGTGTCAAATCTCTGTAAGCAAGCAGAATCTCCATATAAATAGAATAAACATTCTTTCCAGAATTTCATATATTTATTCAGCCCAACCTCATTCTTGTGTTACAGCAATTCTCTGATCCTCTAGGGAAATTCATTACCCACATACGTAGATTTATAAAGTGAATGTCTTTTGAGAATTGTTGTAGATTTGAGCAATATTGTGTGCTCAATGGTAAAAATTTTCTCAAGTAAACCCTTAACTAATAATTCAACTGTCTGACTTCAAGTTCTCGTGAATTGATCCACATATAGTCTTGGAATGTAATGCAGAAACAAATGTCTATATAATATATAATGTATATCTATAATAATATAATAATATATATAATATAATAATTATTATATTTATTATAATTATTATATTGTTGTATTATTATATTGTTATATTTTACTATAATTATTATATTATTATATTATAATATAATATAATATATGTTATATATTATAATATATAATATATATATATTTGTTATATAGACATTTAACACAAGGAATTTAGGCATACAACAATTGAAAGGGCTGATGAAGCAAGGATAGCAAAGCCTGATTACAGAAACTCTGAAGTGTAATAAATGCAATTGCCAGGAACCTCACAGTGGTGATTCTTAGGAGGAAACTCAGAACTCTACCTAACACTCTTGATAAACTGGGCTACCAGCCCATATCCCCACCTCAGGAGAATGACATCTTTTCTACTTTCTTACTACCACACAGCACTTCTCATCTGGACAATCAAAGCCAAGCAATGAAAGAAAGTGATAATGGGAAGTGCTCTTTGGATTTCTTCCCAGCCAACAAAGTAAGAATGGTAAACTGGCGCAGAAAGATGCCCAGTGGTTGGTGTGCAATGTGGCATACCATGAAACAAATCTTTAGTTTATTGAAATGTAGTTTAAATTTATGGAAGCTAGCAGTAGAACATTTTAGCACCAGAATACTTCTGTGATAATTAAAACAGTTTATTATAGCTGAATGTGTATTTTGTCCACTGTACTTCTTTATAAATTGCTAATTTATAATTTCTATCATATTTTGAAAATAATTACATTAAATTTGAAAAAAAACACTCATGAGAAGCAGAAAAAAAAATAAATGCCTTGCCTTCTAACTTTGTGTGAAAATGTTAGGCAATGAAGACCTATCAGGAGCATTGGGTGCACCCAGAGACTGGGAGTAGCCGCCACCATTTGTGCCAAGCACACCCAGGGAGCAGCGGGCTCTTGGGGGCTTGGGAGTGCAGGCTTGCAGGAGACCTGGGAGATGGGGGGGGAGGGGTGAGAGGAGGGAGAGCAGGGACCTGGGGGCTCACTTCCAGACAGACAGAGCAAGCATGGGGATTTCCCCCACTTGCTTGGTCCCAAGATTGGGGGAGGAGAAGGAAGAGCTGACCAGGTGTGATGGTGGACCAGGATTGGGGAATTTTGAATGTACTTGGATCTAGGTTATCACATATACTGGTTTGCATGAGCCAGGGATGTGGAGCAGGTGGGACAGGACTAGGCTGCAGCACGCGAAAGTGAGAGTTGGGCATGGGCACAAGGTTGGACGAGGTCAAGCTACAGCATCTAATGGCAAAGGCCAAGACAGAGTATGTGCTGCGCCAATCTGGGTCAGAGCAACTGCTGACACACGCAAGAGCTGTGGCTGAGAACAGGCCTGGTTGGGAAGCTAAGGGGACATGCCAGCTGGGTGCTGCTTCCCACTGGTGAGTGCGAGGACCAGAATGGGAGTCATGATATGGTCTGGACATGCCTGCAGTGTCCCTCAGCATGGGTATAGACTGGGTCTGATATGTGCCAAACTGGGCTAGATTCCAGGAACCACTGGTGCTCATGAAAGCCAGGGTGGGTGTAGGACAGGCTGGGCTATATCTCTGCCCCTGTTGAATCACACAAAACCTGTGTCTGAGTGTGGACCAGCTGTGACTGGGCTATAACACCCAAAAATAAGAACTAAAAAGAATGTGGGCTGATTGGGCAAGGCCACTGTTCCTGTCAGAACAGGAGGTGAATTAAGTCAGGATGGATCAACAACCTACCAATGTAGCAAGATCTGCCACTGGGAAGAGACCTAATGGAGGAAAATGACAAACTTCCCTGTCAGGACACAGTCCCTGCAGGTGAGTGCAAGAACCAAGGCTGAGGCAGACAGACAAGGCAAGTTTACAGTACTTGCTGTTAGTGGCTCAGGTCTAGGGGCAAGCCAGGCTGAGCCAGTTCATAACACCCACTGGCATATCTGAAAACCAGGATGGGGCACAGGACAGGCAAGATTAGTTCATTAGGGCCAGAACTGAGTGCTGACCAGGATGGCTGGGCTAGGCTAGGCTGTAGCACCCACCATCATGAACTAGAACTGTGGACAGACTGGGCTAGGCTAGGCTAGAGCACCTGCTGGCAATGCTGAGGTAAGACAGCCATGCCAAACTGGGCCACAGCATGCACCAGCACACGTGAGCCTCTGGCGATGGGGGAAGGGGTGTGAACCTGGTAGAAGAGCAGCGCAGGCTCCTCTGCTGGGACACTGTGTCCCCCAGTGAACATGAGGACTGGGGCAGTCCAGACCAGGCAGGGCTACAACACCTGTTGACCTGTTTGCAAACTGGGTTGGAGAGAGCCAGGCTGGGATAACTATAGTCACCAGTACGTGCATGAACCAGAGTAAGTACAGGCTGATTGGGCTTTGCCGCAGTATCAGCTGGCAAGTACCGGGACCAGGGGGAAAAGTTTGTCAAGCTGGACTGCAGAAACACCTGTAGAGTACCTGGGAGTGGGCTAACTAAGGAAACCGTGGGCACTTCTCTGATGGACTGCAGCTCCCACTGGTCATAAGCATGAGAACCAGGGTTGGGAGCAGGCCTGGCTAGACAGGCAGTGGCACCCACCAACATGAGTGTGAGCTGGATAGTGGGGTCAGTTGGGTTGAGTTAGGATTCAATGCTCATTGACTTCTAGAGGTATGAATGAGATGTGGGACATACTGGAGCAGTCGGCTGCACATATTGGCAAGCCCAGGAACCAGAGCTGGGGGTGGGCCTAGTCAGGGTTATTAGGAATCACTCCAACTAGGCTGCAGTTCTCACTGGTGTCTGTGAGAACCCAGTATGTGGTGAGCAAGATTGTACTAGGCCTCAGTATTTGCTGGTTTGAATAGGAGATGAGGCTGGAGACAGAACTAACCCAGCAATCGCAACTACCAGTGTTTGGGGGCACTGATGCTGGTGACAGACAGAGCTGGACCCCGTACGGGCAAGCACAAAAATGTCAGGTCTGGAGTCACCTCAGACGAGGTTTCTTTGGGGATCTGCCCAACTGAAGCACTGGACTCAGAACTCCAACCATGGGGAGAAACACAGGATCCGTTGTCACACTCTGGAGTACATTTGTCAGAACTGGGACTCCTCAACAAGACAGAGCAGTGGATGGTATACATAGATGCACATGGGGGATATGGCAGTCTACTGAGGCCTGCAGAGGAAGAAGGGCAGAACAAATTGGTCAACTACCCCACCTAAGCTTGAGAGCAAATTTTGAATTACCTTTTGGATATTGAGAATTATTTGCTGGTTTGTTTTTAATTTATCTGAAATGTAAAAATGGGCAGAGGGAATTTTTGCTTCTTCAACCATCTTAAACATTTGAAAGTATGATACCAGGCAGGTTAAGCCTTTCTACTCTAGAATCTATTTTACAATCCAAGTCTTCAGCAGAAGGAAAATTAATTCAAGAGGCTGAGTTTGTAGACTTCACTTGGGCATGTGAAATTATAAAACATGAATACAGTGACAATGATTATATTATAAAGTAATTCATAGTTTCCAAATGTAATGAAATAATCAAGTTTCTTAACATGATTAACCTTTTCTTAAATTCAAATATGTATCCCCCACTAAAAATGGACACCAAATACATGAATCATTTAAGTCTTCATACTACTCAAAGAAATTGTCAATAGATGAAATCTCACAATGTAAAAGACACCATGGAAATGAAAGAAAGGATGTTTAAGCATAATGACCACATTGAACAAGTTTTATAACTAAAAACCTTGGGGCAAGGACTTCTTATAAAACATAAAAGCAAATCCCTGGAAAATCTCAATACAATATTAAATGCAAAAAAAATTTGAGTTCTCCATTATGTAATAAAAAATTTTCAAATAACCTCTCTGCTTCATCAGTAAGAATAAAATACACCAAAGCTAGCTGGGCTGCCTAGTGTATATGATCTCCAGGGAAAATAGTCCTCCCAAACCAGCTCATAAAGAACTGTAGGACGGGTTTACTGCCACATGAAACACTTCTGGGAAAACTTTTCTAGGATAGCAGAGAATGTAGGCACAGTTCTTGCCTTTTACAGAAGAAACAAAAATCCCATAAATCTGTAAGGGACAGGAATACTAACCTAAGAAATCCTTTAAGGATCCCCAGAAGTATTTTACACAACTGAATTGCTGTGTAAGTGATGAATGTGCTACCAGTCATAGCACTTTCCTTTTCTTACATATTGGTAGTCAAATAGCCATATAATGAAGCAAATTAACAAATGTAACATTTTCCCATTTATTTTTATATGCAGCAATACAAAAAAAAGCAAATTTTAAGAAGAGAATCTTAGCTCATCACAAGGAGGAGTTGCGGAGCTGTGAAACTAAGAGTTCTGAATCCTGTGATTACAGGACTCCTTAGGATGGGGCACATACTCCTTAGGATGTCATTACCACCCAATAATGCTGTATTTTCCTGAGGGGATATAGTATTTAGGCACTGGAAATCATGATATAGCCCATGATTGTGATGCAGAAAAGTAAATAAAAGTCTAATTGCCTCACTTCAGAGACATTGGCTATTACTAAAAAGTTGACAAGTCTTGGAGAGGAAGGAGAAAAAGAAATTATTGAACAATGTTGATGAGACTATAAATTTATACAGTCATTGTGGAAAATAGTATGGAGTTCTATTAAAAGCTGAAAATACAACTATTCTATAACACAGCAATCTAATTACTGAGTATACATCCAAAGGAAACGAAATTATTCTGGCAGGGTCTGGCACGGTAGCTTAGTGGCTAAAGTCCTCACCTTCCACACGCTGGGGTCCCATATGGGCACCAGTTCTAATCCCAGCAGCCCTGCTTCCCATCCAGCTCCCTGCTTGTGGCCTGGGAAAGCAGTCAAGGACAGACCAAAGCCTTGGGATCCTGCACCCGCGTGGGAGACCCAGACGCACCTGGCTTTGAATTGGCTCAGCGTCAGCCGTTGCGGTCACTTAGGGAGAGAATCATCAGATGGAAGATCTTCCTCTCTGTCTCCCCTCCTCTCCCTCTCTCTCTCTAAATATATATATATATATATATATATATATATATATATGTATATATCTGACTTTGCAATAAAAATAAATAAATTGTTTTAAAAAAGAAATTATTTTGGCAAAGAGACATCTGTACTTCCATCTACACTCCCACTCACAATAGGCAAGAAATAGAATCATAAGCATCCATCAACAGATGAATAAATATAGCACATATACTCTCAACTATTATAATTCAACCATAAAAAGTGATAAAATCTTGTCACTGGAACAACATAAATGAAACTGAGGTTATTTTTTTTTTTAAAGATTTATTTTTATTATTTTTTCATTGGAAAGGCGGATATACAGAGAGGAGAGACAGAGAGGAAGATCTTCCGTCCGATGATTCACTCCCCAAGTGAGCGCAACGGGCCGATACTATGCCGATCCGAAGCCAGGAGCCTCTTCCGGGTCTCCCACGCGGGTGCAGGTTCCCAAAGCTTTGGGCCGTCCTCGACTGTTTTCCCAGGCCACAGGCAGGGAGCTGGAAGGGAAGCGGGGCTGCCGGGATTAGAACCGGCGCCCATATGGGATCCCGGGCGTGCAAGGCGAGGACCTTTAACCACTTGCGCCACCGCGCCGGGCCCAGAAACTGAGGTTATTAAATAAAGAGAAATAAGGTACAATATGATATATACCTCATGCTCCTACTCATATGAAGAATATAAAGCTGATATTCCATAGGCTGAGAGTACAATGGTGATTGTTAAAGATTAGAGAGGGTAGGGATGAGGACTGTGAAAGTTTTCTTGACAGGTACTAAGCTAGAGAGATGACTAAAGATAACAATAATACACTGTGTATAATCCTAAAAAAAGTTAGAAGCATGGATTTTTAGTGTCTTCACTATAAAGATATGACAAGTGATTTAAGAGGTAGAGTCATATACTTTGGTTTGAACATTTTGTAATATACACATGTATTGTAACTTCACACAATACTCCACAAATTTATGCAACTCTATATTAGCTAAAAATAAATGTTAAATAGTTCCAAAAGAAAAAAAAATAACTAATCCAAAAGCAACAGCCATCAACAAAATGATCTAAACTTTTCTGGGTTATCTTGAACATAACCTTTTTATTATTTATTTAAAATATATTTTATTATTTATTTTATTAACCTTTTTATTACATGCTTTTAATGTCAATTTTACCAACAAATGATATGGCAGATGTTGTACTACAAAGTCTGAGTCAGAGGAGAAAGAAGCAAGATAAGGCTTGTTCCCCCAGTCACAGGTTTGGGTACAGGACACAGGTGCCTGGGGAGCACTGTGTACTTGCTGCACAGAAGTAGACAGCTGAGTCCCCAGGCTGGGTGGCTGTGATGTGCAGGGAGACATGCTTGGCCTTCTTATCCAACAAAACAGTGAATCTTTGGTCTTGTTTTTTATCCACATTGGAGCGAATGTCTATGATGAGCTTGGGCCCCTGCCCAGCTTCTTGTTTATACCATGGAAAATAGGCTGAGGCACTATCTGAATAAATACAGTTGATGACAGATTTGCCTCCTTCCTGGACACTCAGAGTAGAAGGCTGCTGCTCCACGTTCTCTCCTCGGCTCATCCCTATGCAGAAAGGAAAAAATCAGTCATTGCCATCAAAAGGAGACCTGCTCTGGACATCCACTGATAGACTTTGTTGCCTGAAAACCCTCGACTCACAGTTCAGCTGTAGCCACAAGATGAGTGAAGCTGGAATGGATGTCTTCATGGTTCTCCCCAGTCAGGAACAGACAAACACCTGCAGTCTTTAGCCAGAAAAACTAATCCTACTCTCAAAGTGTCCGTTTTTTGCTCTAACCAGCATGTGGCTTCTCATGTTATTCACCTAGCCAATTACAAAAAGCCTCTGCCTGCGTTGTAAAGCCTTATCATTCAGAATCCACCGAAATGAACTGTCCAGGTGCTGAGTCAGCAGAGGCACACTACCACCTTGTGGTCACATCCCTTAATGCTAAACTTAGTGGGTAAATGTTCTCTTAACCTAGAAGGGACTCAGATGCATAGAAGTAGCAACAGGCAGATAAAACTAATTAGACCTAAGACCTAAGAACTAAAAGCACAGTAAGTATGTAGATTTTTACTCTATTTATGCCTGAAAACAGAATTTGAAAACAAATGTGTTACTGGAGATTGGCTTCTCAGGGATTATTGTATTTGTTTTTAAGAGTTTATTGTATTTATTTGTTTATTTATTTATTTATTTATTTATTTATTTAAACGGCAGATTTACAGAGAGAAGGAGACACGGTTGGAAAGATCTTCCATCCATTGATTCACTCCCCAAGTGGCCACAACAACTGAAGCTGAGCAGATCTGAAGCCAGGAGCCAGGAGTTTCTTTTGGGTCTCCGATGCAGGTGCAGGGTCTCCGGGCTTTGACCTCCCAGACACAAGCAGGGAGCTGGATGGGAAATGAAGCAGCTGAGACACAACTGGCACCCATACTGGATCCTAAAATTTGCAAGGTACACATTTAGTCACTAGGCTGTCGTGCTGGACCCAGGTTCTTGTATTCTTGTAAGAAAGAATTCAGATAAAAAAGACAGAAAGTAGTGGTAAATGAGGTAGTAAAGTTCAATGAAAAGTAATGAAGCAAAGAACATCTGGTAGACGAGAAAGGCATCTTAGGAAAGGGCTGGGAAAGCTTATTGACCTGAATAAAGAATATGGATCCCCTGCTTCTTCTCCCCTCTTCTCTCTTATGGAATATTGCAATTTCCCAAATTTTTTTCTAGAACCTTGTTAGAGCAGTGTTATCGGACCTAATAATCTAATACAGGGGACAGGGATGAAACTCACCAATCAGAATTCTAGAACAAGATCAATTACTTCAAGAATAATTGCTGGTTTGCATTAAGAACTTGGGTCCTTGGTACATTGCACAATAGATTCATTTTCTTTAAATAGTCTCATTTTCAGGACTGGCACAAATCGCTTCTCAGCCTTTTGGCTAAGATCAAGTGTAGGACTGGCACAGTGGCATAGCAGACAAGTCCTCTACATACAATGCTAGCATCCCATATGGGCACCAATTCATATTCTGGCTGCTCCACTTCTGATCCAGCTCCCTGTTTGTAGCCTGGAAAAGCAGTGGAGGATGGCCCAAAGCCTAGGGACCCTGAACCCACTTAGGAGACCCAGAAGAAGCTCCTGGTTCCTGCTTTCAGATTGGCCCAGCTCTGGCCATTGCGACCAGTTGGGCATCCAGCAGATGGAGGATCTCTCTCTCTCTCTCTCTCTCTCTCTCTCTCTCTCTCTCTCTCTCTCTTTCTCTCCCCTTCTCTCACTGTCTCGCCATCTCTCCTTCTCTCTATAACTGTATTTACGATAAAAAATAAAAGAAATCTTGAAAATTAGATCACTACCTATTCCTTTGTGGCTTATGTTCTGCAACTGATCAGAGAAAGAATAGAAATTCTCAGAAATCATCACAATGAAGATTCTAAAAATGTAATCCCATCTAAGTTTATTTCTGATGTAAGTTTGGTATCAGTTTTATGCTGATAAAAGCAGTGATTGAATTATATCCTCAGTGGAATATCCTCTAAAGTATGAGCCAGCATTCCTGCTTTGGCTGTATCCTATAGCAGAGATTTCTTATTCTATCATTTCCTCCCAAACTTCAGTACAAATTTTCTTTCCTGAAGATGCTGATAAATTTCATTCATAGTATAGATTTCCAGGATCATCCCCATTTTCCAAAAGCCCTTTTTCATCACTTTAATTTCTTGGTGTTTCTGTAAGATACCCCTGCTACTCATGTGGTAGAAAACTGGGAGAAGTTCCATCTTCATAGTTTCAGCCTGGCCCAATCACAACCATTGGAGCTGCTTGTGGAATAAACCAGTAAATGGATAATCTCTTTCTCTTTCCCTGCTCCCCCGTCACTCTTTCAAATAAAGTAAATATTTAAAAAATAATACTCCATTTAGGAAAATATTTTACTATTTGTAAAACAATAGCATTTATAGTAATATATAGTAAAACAAATAACATGTAACAGAGTAATACTACTTTATTAATATGTGATATCCTTGATTAATATCATGATTTTATAACCTCATTACTCTGGAAATTAATGCATTAAGTTATCAAGATGGAGTCTTTTAGCAACTTCATTTCTAAGGACCATAATTGAAAGCAAGGTCAGTTTTGCTTGATAAATGGAAGATTGCAAACAGAATTTTATCTCTTCTAATTTTGCATTAAGTATATCTGTTGATATACCTGATACTGAAACCCTTAGTAGTATTTTACATACTGTGAAAGCATTAACATAAATACCTGATAAGTCATTGTGAAATATAAATGTAAGTAAACCAAAAATTGCAGGATCTAGTGGAATAGATTTTCTTAGACAACTTAATTTTTTGGTACAAATCATTTTCATTTAGGCCTGAATTAATGTAAGGTAAATATATAAAGCCATAAAGACATTTTCTATAACTTTGGGCATCTCATTAGAAACTACAAGTAATTTTGTAATTGATATATTGTTTGGAATGCTGTCTTATGCAATCTATTGCTATATTTTCTTTTTTATAATTTCAAATGAAAGTAATTTTTATTTAAAAAATATCTTGTGCCAATGTTGATTCTTTTGAAATTCCACAATAGTTTTCCTTTTCCGTCAAAGTTCTATCTTTGTATTTAGTGTATATCCTTAAGTCTTTATTTATGCTCTTTACAATAGCTCATCAGCTTTCAAAACCAGAATTCCCTAACTTAGTGAAGTATTCTGTGTGCCTACAAGCGATCCTGTCCTGAGGCCTCTACCAGGGGAAGTAGCACTTCGCTTATGCACATGCTCCACTCTCTTACTGGATTTCACTTACAAAACAGAAGTGGGATGGTGAGAATGATTAAGAATCAAGAGAGAAATAGCATCAAGCTAAGCACCAGGCTGTTTCAAGGCCAGACCCTTCTCCACTGCACAGGTCTTGCTGCGCAGGTCTCGCTCCCAGATAGGCAGCCCCACTCACTATTTGCTGGAGTCTTGCTGAGGTTTCTGCGTCTTCATTTTCAGAGCCTTGCTCCTTCCTAGTCAGTGCCCTGACACCAACCTAAAAGACCTGTCAATGTACAGGTCAATTGTACATAATGTCATTGATTTGTAGCAGGTTTCAATTTTGGATTTGGTTATTGGAGTCTTGATCCGTGGCTAGAGCAGGCTTGGGTTTCTTTTACAGTAAGCAGTCATAAAAACTTTCTGATCCCTTTCCCAGATCCTAACCAATATTACAAAATCATGGGTAGCAGATTCACCCAAGATGTAAGATAGACAAATGGATTTTAATGTAACAAAATGAGAAGCTCAATGAGCTCATCCTTACAAGGTGCTACTTAGATCAAAATGCACATTTTTGTCAACGACATGTGTAAACACAGTGTGTAAATTTGTCATAGAAACTAATAGTGCTTTGTGACTCTGATGCCTTCTATATTGGGTTTCTCACAGAACATATTCTAATATCAGATCTGCAGTAGGACTCCCACCCCAAGCTCCCTATCTTAGTGAGCAGATGAGCCCATGTATGTGACTCATGTCCTGTTGTCCTCAATACATTCATGAACAAAATGAGAAGGTATTGTCAGTTCTTACACCTTGAATTCAATAGCCTAGATGAAATACCTGACTCTTAATAAGATTTAGCATATTTTATTTGTATTTGCAATTGGTTCCAGGCTCAAACAACCTGAGTGTTCCTTCCTTTTCCTGGAAAACTGGGCTGTCTTTAACCCCCTGAAATATTGAACTATGTCTATTTGTTGAAGAGGGTGCATTTTTTCATAGCCTTTTTCATCACAGTAATTTTTGCATCACTCAACATGTACTTTGCCAGGAAAACCACTGAGTCCTAACATCTTTATCAGTTGCTCCACTGGCCTATGATTTTGGGTTTTGTTTGTTTGTTTGTTTGTTTTTCCTGCCCAGGGATTTCTGGAAGAAAATGTATGGAAACCAAATGAAATGACTTGTGCTTATTTGTACAGTTTTTACTAGAGATGAAAGTGCTCCAACATCAGAGAACCCCAGCAGCATGAATGCTATGCAGAACCCTAGATGGTGGGGGTGCAGGCCCAGCTGCAGTTTGGGTGCAGGCAGCAGGTGACCTGGGAGCACTGTGCCTTGCAGCACAGAGGTAGGTGCCTGAGTCAGCCAGCTGGGAGGCTGCGATGTGGAGGGTGCTGTAGCGCTCCCGGGAATTCGCGGTTGATGTCAACCTTCCATTCTCCTTTGTTCCTGAAGCTATGTAAAATAATTGGATGAGGCCGCTCCCGGGATTCTGTCGGAACCACTGCATGCCCTGTATTGTGTCAGAAAAATTACACCGTAGAGTGGGGCTGGCTCCCTCCTGGACACTCAGGGCTGAAGGACTCTGCTCCACCTCCAGCCCTCTCACCCCTGCAAGAAAGGGGGAAAAACATACAGGGAAGTCACTGTGGGGATCACCGATGTAGCCCCCAAACCTATACAAACTCAAGAAACAACCATGAGGGTGTAGGACAGTGTTAGAATTTAATGTCAGCTCTCCCTCCACCAGCAAGCTGTGAGCCACTCCCTGTCTCCCATCCGAGATAATCCCAACTTACAGCAAATCTGGACCCATAGAAGTCCCAGCAGAATCTCCCATCTTTTTTCCATGGCTTCCTGTGCGTTAGCAGGGGAGCCCTCACCCCTGGTCTGTGAATGTTAAGCATTGGACATAGACAAACTTTGCTCTTACAGTCAATAGGTTCCATGAAACTCATAGAGAACCAATCACATCCGAGCTCTGTCATTCATCTTAACAGGAAACTCCACCCCCAGGCCCAGTAAGACTGCTTCAACATTGTAGGGAGCCTACAGTGCAGGTGGAGGAACTCCAATTAACAAACACTTTGATGGGCTGGAAGTTCAATAGCTTTAAAA